GGCGATAACAAACTTATAATTAGACATTATAAGCCCAGGTTTCCTCACGATGTTTTCCTTCACCGTTTGTCAGTGGTGTCTAGATAATCTTAGAAAGTACATATAACTCGGAAAAAGTCACATTGGTACTTGCCGTTGGTAGATTTCGAACCCGCACCATCATGCATGAGAAGCGGGCGTCTTGAACCTCCGGGCAATCCCGAAATAATCAAATTCAATATTCCTATAAGTACAGCAATTTGCAAGACATTAGAATGTCTTGCAGTAACAGATACTTGATCAACTAACTTTTTTTTTTCTCTTCTTTGGTAACCGAGTCCTCAAAACGGTGTTGTTGACTATACTGCCAGTGTCGAGTGATCAACTAACACATGCAAAATTTAATGATAGGTATTTGTCTAGAATGTTACCAGTTACTATTCTTGTTCAAATTCGGTTACTATACTATAAAAGTAAATAATGTCTTTATTGACGTAAATATATTACCATGAAATGAACTAAATACGCGTTTATATGTTTCTACTATAAGAACGGATAACAATTTTTTCCTGCTTTGACATAAAACACGTTTTTCCTGAAATTTGGTAAATGTAAATGTCGAACAATATGAATTTATTAAATAGACAAGTAGGGATTAATTTAATAACCGCATTTCCTACTCGTTTATGCGGTTGGTAACTTCGAATGGATAAATGAAGTCACGCCTTTTATCCCCAAATGGGTATGTAGAGGTGCACATTACGACACTTAATACCTATTACTAATAAAGGTTCAACCCTTTTACTAATCATAATATAAATAGTGAAAAGTGAGAGTAACATTATAGAGGTACAGTAAGCTTTAAAAAAAAAGTAATTTACTTTAATAAAAACGATGGTCTTTTGATTTAAACCTTTCAAGAATTGTATGATTCATTCATTTATTTTCAATAAAATAATAAATAAAACAGTCTTTTATTTCTTACTTCAAAAATTTACAAGGTATATGCTTATTTACTAGGTATGCTAATCAACTTATGAACTAAACGTTATTGGAACTAAAAATTTTAAAAACAAACACATAATATTTCTTAACTTAACTATCATAGTATGAACTCCTCGTTCTCGAAGGTGAAGGCCTCCTCTAGAGATTTCCAACTATCCCTGTCTTTTGCCATTTCCTTCCACTTGCATTATATCGTCTGCTCAGCGAGCAGCTGGTCTCCCTCTCTTTCTATTTCTGAATGGACCGAACATAATTTATTTGACCAATTTTAAAATAGCTATTGACGTCCGCTCGGTCCTAATAGGATCTCACCTAAATGGTCTAAAACGTGAATATTACATGGGACTCATAACATAAATATTGAAAAGTGGGTGTTACTTCTGTGTGCACCTCTGCCTACCCCTTCGGGGATAAAAGGCGTGATGTTATGTATGTATTAGGTAATTTTCTTGTAATAACGACAAATATAACTACTAAATATCGAAATAGAATTATTCCTAACATCCAAATTGGATCGTTTCCATACAAGTATTGATTATGTTTTTCCTAGTTCAGTGTGCGAATGGGTATTTTTAACCGCTTAGTCGTACCCATGGGGGCACAAAGGGTCGCTCCAGTTCTGCACCAATGGGTCTCACTGACCAAAGGGCCGGAAATCCTAAAGGATATCCGAGTCTCGGTCAGTTGTTTAACTACTTTATAACGAAGATATATTACTAACTAGATCTGTCACTTATTAGTTGAAGCAAAGTATTTAGGGATGAATATGGTGAAAGAAAAATCTTAAAGAAACGGCTATATGTCAGACCAGTCTAGGTTTAGTATAAGTATCTCCACGTCTTGCTATTGGGTTGTAACTTAAAGATCATAAGTTTAAAAAGTTTTGAATTCATACAGAATCAGATATTTCACCCGATCTCGGTACGTAGAGTAATGATCACAGCACCGAACTTCACGTATTTATTTGACTTTTGTCTATTCATATAATTTGACCTTGCTTTTTGACTTATTCCATATTCAATGATGAACTTTTCCTTCCCCAATTAGTTTTATAAAATATTTAGCAACTATGTTGTTATTCGTACTATTAACAATCAACATTACCTAGATGTATTAAATTTCTTGTCAGTTATTAATAAATGTTGCATATGCATAGGATTAATTATAATGTGTTCGGCTTCTTCACGTAACTGTTTGACGAGGAACTCGACTAGTTTCAAGCCATGCTAGAGGCTCATATTCATGAACAGCATTCCGAAACCCGCGATGCGGCGAATGTCGCGCTGCTACATAATAATTAATATAGTATGTCTCACGAAAGCAATAATATAAACATGCATAGGATTCTTACAGCGATCTCTGCCTCAGCCTGTATGTAATACATAGCTTCAGAAGTAATACACTCTCGCGCGAGCAGACACGATGTTGAGGTACATTGCAGTCTTATAATACGAGAAGGACTACAATTCTTTTAGAAAACAACAATGTATCTCGACTCACGCGAGAGTGTGGATGCAGCATTAGAATAAGTTAAACCTGAACAGCTATTAAGATATCCTGAATCCTGAGTGATAGTACGGAGTTTGGAATAGTGCCTTATGTTTTTCGAAAGGCTCATTCCTTATTACAATGAGACTAATTATGGTATATCTATAAAAACCATCGACCGCCAATTCATGCAGTTGTAATTAACTTCTTTGATGAATCAAGTGTCTATGGGCGGTGCTGGTGACTTACCATCAAGTGATTCTTCTGTTCCATTGCGCCCTGTCCCCTTAAAACAAGCAATGCACGATACCTAATTATCTAAACTTACGAACAAGAACAACTAATTTTATTCATAACAAAGAACACTCATTTCATAACATTGTCGATACATCCTTATCAATATGGCCGCTAGAAATAAATCTAAATGTAGCAATGAATTAATTCACGTCAGAATTGGACGCATCCATCGTTATTACACTGTGTTATAAGTTATCGCTGTACTTATCAAAACTCGGGGTAACAGAGCAAGTTCATTAGCACCAACTGATAACAGAACGTGGCCTTTTTAGCCCTCAAACGATCAAGAACGATGGAGTGCATCTATTTTGTGATGAAATGAAGGCTCATACACGCGCGTATGTGATGAAAATGAAGAAGAAGTTTGTTTTCTGTTCATTATTTAGGTTTAAGTCTACAATAGCATTGACCTGGTGGTCCTTATGGTCATCTACGTCAAAAATTATTAGTTTGTATAAGTTACCTACCCATATCAAAATTAAAAATACTACAAGCCTAAAAAGGACCTAAAACCTAGCCACTCTAATAGTCGTTTCTACGATCTACACATTAAAGTGCAAACTTACACCATATTTTGGTTTACTTTGACACATTTCTCACCAGTTCCCTATACCACAACAAGAATTAGATACATCCTCAGAGTCGGCACATTATATTATTTTATTGCTCCATAATTTAGTCGTAATACCCCATTGCTGGTACGCAGAGACTCGGAAAAAAGCACACTTTCCATTTTAATAACAGACGGAGAGTAGGTACTGTAATGTCATATAAAAAAGGGATTTATATTACTGCTACTGCTACGTAAGCAACATACTGGAAAAATGGATGGATGAAATTAAATTTACATAAGTAATATGACGTTGCCTTTAGTAATGAAAACATAGTAACTGCGTTTAAAAAACCGACTTCAAAAAACCAAAAACTAATAACAAACAAAAAATAAAAACTAAAAGGCAAAAAACAACTATTATTACTACTGATAGGTTAGAAGTCGGCGCCATAAAAAACAATAAGTCGAACATAGTACCTCCTCCTTTTTTTGAAGTCAACAAAATTAACTTAATTTGGAGTTACAAATCAAATTACGGAATACTTCTCATTATTTCTACCCTACTTATTCTTTCTGGAAATTCAGTCATTATTACGTCTTATCTTTTATATTTTAGGTTTCTGTATCTTCAACATCAACTAACATTAAATAGATTCGTGTCAAATTTATTGTTATTGTATAAGTTATCAGCAATAGGAATAGAGAAACCTAAGCATAACACATTCACACAAACTAGAGCGTTGTTTTCCTTATTATCAGCGCTTAGATAACCATGTTAATATAACCTACATACTCCTTTACAATGATAGCCACATAAGCTCTTTGTAAACTATATTTCCGATATAATAATATGTTTAGACGCAATAAATTCTTGTACGATTTTTATCACCAAAGTGTGAACTAGATGTTTTATTGATTTTATCAATGAATTTAATTGGTTGTTTGTATCAGATAAGGCTTGTTGTGCAGTTTATTCTTGCGAAGAATTCGATAATTTATATCAACTGCACAGAGTTCATTGCTCTTGGTTGTTAGGGTGTATTATGTGTGTAGATTTTGCGTTTATTAATATTACTAACTTTTACCCGCGGCTTCGCTCGCGTCAAAAGAATAAAAAGTAGCCTATGTGACAAATACCAATACACACAGCGCCATCTATACCAATAATTTCGTTTTCCCTCGAGAATATCAAATTTTTCCGGGATAAAAACCCTATTATTTAATCCAGACTTCTAACTTTACGTCTGTAAAAATTCAAAGCAATCGGTTTAGTAGTTACGGCGTGAAAGCGGAACAAACAAACAAACTCACTTTCCGATTTATAGTATTAGCAAGGATATCCAATGCCCCAAAAAAACTAACTGATGGCGCATAGTTACTATGATAATGTGATAAAAAACATGAGGGTCGTTTCCATATGATGTTAAGACTCTTTACATCATACAGCAACTAGATGTCTTCTGCTGAACCCTAAGGAGTTCCAAATCGACCGGTTAGAAGCTAATAAGTAATCGTTGAATATTTAAACAGCAATAAACCTTACTATTGCTCTTACATTAACATGGCTAGTATTTAACAAGAAAAGCTAGTCTTTTCTACTTATGAATACACAAAACTGGCCCGTGGTTAGACGCCATGTTTCTATGTCGCTAATGTTATTTTCTTTTTAATTTTTCAGGAGTGGCTTGGCGCGGCGTAACCGGCGGGCCGCGCCATGGGTAACAAGTGCTGCAGCCGCCGTCATGACCCAGATAGGCCTTTGGGTAAGTTATATCATGTTACAGGACTTTGCTCCTTGTTTATATTGCAATATGTTTTTAAATCGTTTTGCAAATATTGCGATTTAAGTATTCTACGTAAAAATGTCTCGTAGCTACAAAAGGAGGATTTTAAGTTGTCAACAGTTGCAAATAGTAGTCGGAACTGTTGCAGTTGGAAGTGTATTCGATACAAAAAGTTACATAATAAAATTCAAATATCAAACAATTGTATTGTCAAAACACAATTTTGATAAAATCTATAGACAAATCGAGGGTTCTTTCGAAAATTAGGAGTAAGACGTAAAATCGATCTTGAGCAACAACTCGATTAAAGTCCAGTGATGTCTCTGTAATTTTGTTCTCCCTGTGTAATTTATTTAAGACCCGAAAACCCTTTTCGTTGGCGACAACAAATAGGGTAATATTGTGTAAACAGTCTAGTAAATAAAGTTACGCTCGCTACTCAATATTGCGAAGATACAACTACAATATTTCAATGAAATTAACAATTTCATTTATGAATGACTACTACATCCAAACGAATGATTTTATAACTTCTTAATTACCCGTCAAAAGTAACCGCGAAATAAGCAAAAAAACGCCCATAAAGGACGAAACCAAACTCAGAAGAGGTTATATTTATAGCAAAGCAATTTCCTTGAAAAGAACAATGGGGCTAGATTTTTTCGCACGATGTTAAAAACCCGCCTATTAGACGCAATTCGTGTTCATTCGTTACTATTCTACTAAGAAGCCAGTTTGAGGTCACATGCATTGTTTGGAAACAATATTAATTGCACATGAATGGGCATATGAATCAAACAGCAATTACAGATTCGATGTTATTAATTACCGCTGCTCTAAAAGGTCAAGGGTGATTGGAACAGAATTTATCCTAGCGGTTAAGAAACAATTGGTCAATTCAAAAGTAAACATCATCTATATAGATGTTACCCAAAAGTTTTACTGAAGTAAACCTTCGTCAGATTTGCCTCGTGTGAAAACATCCTTTGAGATAGGGGATCTTGAATTTCGAGTGCAAAAGCAACACATAAAACGTGTCTACGGGGTGTGTGAGACTCGTAAAAGTAGAGGGAAGGACGTTAAGAAAAGGAACATTTCAATGGTTTGTCAATATTTAAAGTAAAAGTAGCGCAAAGTACCGACCGTATTAAATAAATACTCCTTCACGAAAACTCCTTGCCTTGAGTATACTTTAAATTATTAAGTAACGGGTAGCTACGGCCATTGTGCCGTCTAAAATTATCCTTTTGCGTAACTTGTTTTAGTTTTAAGGAAACTCTGTTTGTTGGAACACTTTCTGGTGGCTTTTTCTTTACTACACTCTGGGTTCGGGACCGAGTCCTAACTAGTCCCTTTCGTCGAGAGACTATCTATCCTCTAACACCCACGAGCAAAACTGACACACCAGTCTTGGTGAGATTTGTCGTCAAATTTTTATGCTGCTGTAAAAAGTAGTCACACAGATAAATCCATTAACACTTGTCAGTTCAGCAGCCACAGAGATGTTGTCACCTATCATGTCGCTGTTTTGTTTTTAAAATAAAAATGATTAATGTTAGTGGATGTGTGTTTCAGTATATCCGGCGTATAAGAACGAGGCGGGGTTCACGGCGTGCCCGTCGTCGCTGGAGACGCGGTACACAGGAGAACCCAACACACGAGTGCTGTCGCGACCTCCTGCGGACATCGTGCGCACACGCAACCCTGGAAAATGTAAGTGAAAAAAGAAAATATAACTTTTTGTGGTTACTTTGATGATTTCTACATGTAAGCCTTCGTCATAATATTTTGAAAACTTAATTATCTGCTATATAAAAATAAGTCGGGTTTCCCTTCCTGACGCTATAACTCCAGAACGCACGAACCGATTTCCACGGTTTTATATTTGTTGGTAAGGTCTCGGGCTCCGTGAATGTTTATAGCAAAGAAAATTCTTCATCTTTTAATCACCAAACGAAATGTTACATAAAACGAAGCCATCTGATGGCCAAACGTAGTTCGCCGGGTTTGTTAGTGTCAATATAATTGTTATAAAAATTCAGGTCAATTTTCGTCTGATAAAGAAGTCTATTAGCATCAAAAATTTAAGAATAATTTCACTGCCTTAAATCATTATAATCTTAGGATGAAAATATCCATTCCTTTTTTCTGAGGGGAAAAATGAGTTCCTTTCCCAACACGGGATTGTTAATCTCTTACTCATCATAAACTACTCCCGTTTCTTTCAGTTGTGGTAGATAATCCAATACCTAAAATCACCTAAAATATTCCAGGTATAACCAACGGCGGCAGACGCGTAGTGAAAGCGCTATGCGCGTACACAGCTCGAGCGGACTCGGACATCTCGTTCCGCAAGGGCGACCGCATGGAAGTCCTGAGCGATGCAGAGCCTGATTGGTGGAGAGTCCTACATCTCACCACGAGGAGAGAAGGACTTGTACCCGTCAACTTTGTCGCTGAAGAAAGTTCTGTTGAATGCGAAGAGTAAGTATTGTGTATTATTGGATTCTGCTGCTATAACGCTATGCGTTCTACTGAGCTGTAGTTTTGTATATAGCTTTGTCATAAGCTATATTACCATTGATCCAGTCTGAAGGTCATAGGTAATTATGCTATTTTTAACCCTATACATGACCCCTACTGTCATTCATTTTTGGTTTCTAAACTAATAACATAATTGTAAATAAAGAATCTACTAATTGATTTTACCCTTCATTCATCAATTTCATCTAAATCAAACTAAGTTGTTGATTATAACAGTCTTCAAAAGTTTCCACCATACCTAATATCTTTCCGAGCATACGGCGCGTCGCGTTCCGCGCGCGCCTCAAAGAGCCATCAGACCACCACGGATAGGGCCCAATAGGGCTGATGCCGATACAGAGCCGCGGAGAAATCATCGGGTTATCGGGGCTCTGGCTCGAAGTGCAAGAGTAGGAACGGGGAGGTTTTTAGTCAGTAAGACACTCGCCCGCCTCATCCAAGCGGGAGAAGGCATTCGATGATATTCCGCCCTTAAAAAAAACCTAATATCTTTAAAAAAATCTATACATCTTCATCATTTCTACCAACTAACACATTACAGCTTCATAACAAAGTAACAACATAAAACGGTGATGGGTCACAACCCTCCCCTATGTGTTATTAATCGGCGACTTTCCGCTAAAGGCCGACGTCATGTTGCAGCTGGTTCTTTCCTCACGTATCCCGCAAAGAGGCTGACAAACTCCTCCTTGCTGAGACCAACCCTCGAGGGACCTTCCTCGTGAGGCCAGCGGAACATAATCCTCACGGCTTCAGCCTCAGTGTCAAGGATTGGGAGGAGGGAAGAGGGTACCATGTAAAACATTACAAGATTAAGCCTTTGGACAATGGAGGGTTCTACATCGCTACCAATCAAACGTTCCCGAGTCTGCCTGCGCTTGTCATGTCTTATACGAGTGAGTTCGGATTTGACTTGTTTTTTTTATTACTTTATGCTCATGTTCACGCATTTTTCGACTTTATCTCAATAATGTAGATGTACCTATAGAAAAGTTCCTATTTATTTAAAACTGAATCTTAATCGCATAGTCATACCCATAACGCAATATGAGTGAAAATTTAAAATTCTAATTTAAACACGCTAGGCTCAATGTGAAAACATTGTGCTATCAGTCGCAATTCTTCTCCTTCAATTATATCTTGGTATTTATTTTGTTGTGGGATACAAATCATTATTTTGTTGATCATGGACGTTCTCCTATTCTACAAACTGTAAAACTGTTTTGTCCACCATTGAAAAATGTAAACCAGGTTTGGTTTACAATGCTCAGTGGTTGGATGGCGGGTCTATTCTTTTAAAAAATACCTAGTAACCAATAACATACTTTATATACTTCATATTTCACACTAACCATTAAAAAACGTTAATCTAAATAAAAGATACTGATGTTTGCAGAGAACGCGTTAGGTCTATGCCACGTGCTAGCGCGGCCGTGTCCGAAGCCTGAACCTCAAATGTGGGACCTCGGGCCAGAGTTACGGGACAAATGGGAGATACCACGGTCAGAGATACAACTCATCAGGAAACTAGGACAAGGCAACTTTGGAGAAGTCTATTATGGAAAGTGGCGTAATAATATTGAGGTAATTATTTTATTTTGTTTATTCTTGTAGTTGAAGAAAGATTTGTTAAGGAATTTGAATGAGGTGATAACATAATAATCTTTATATATAAAATTCTGATGTACGTGTGTATGTCATTGAACTCCTCCTAAACGGCTTGACCGATTTAAATGAATTTTTTTGTACGCGTTTGTGTGGCGCCCTAGATGGTTTAGATTCACAAATCAGTGCGGCAGGTAGCGCTGCAGTCGATTTCTAGGTTATTTATCCTAAGCGGCTGAACTAATTTGAATGAAATTTTGTTTATATATTCAAGTGGATATGCAGGACAACGTCTGTCGGGTCCGCTTGTAGATTATATAATAGAATTTCAAGTTCCTCATGTAAATCCTGCGAAGTATAATAATAGGTATAAAATCGATACCAGTTAGTTATTGAAACGAAATATTAAATCACTACATTGTGATTAATTTTGGAACTCAACCTTTTTGTTCTCTTGTCAAAGAGAAGAGTGGAGAGCGACCTTTGAGTATTTATAAGTTCAATCCTAATTCATACAATATGACCATTACAGGTTGCTGTGAAAACACTAAGAGAAGGCACGATGTCGACACAAGCCTTCCTACAAGAGGCAGCCATCATGAAGAAGTTCCGACACAAGCGGTTGGTGGCGCTGTACGCAGTTTGTTCCACACAAGAACCAGTATACATAGTGCAAGAATACATGAGTAAAGGTTCCCTCCTAGAGTTCCTCAGAAACGGTGAGGGCAAGTTCCTCCAGTTTGAGGACCTCGTGTATGTCGCCGCGCAAGTCGCGTCCGGCATGGAGTACTTAGAATCCAAAATGTTGATACACAGAGACTTAGCCGCTAGGAACGTGTTAATAGGTGAAAACAACGTAGCAAAAATATGTGACTTTGGACTCGCAAGGGTGATTGAAGACAATGAATACTGTCCTAAGCAGGGGTCTCGCTTCCCAGTCAAGTGGACGGCACCAGAGGCCATCATTTATGGAAGATTCTCCATCAAGAGCGACGTCTGGTCGTACGGCATTCTTCTTATGGAACTGTTCACGTATGGTCAGATACCTTACCCTGGTCTGCACGGCAAGGACGTCATTGAACAAGTAGAGCGAGGCTACAGAATGCCCAAACCCGTCGGACACTACCTCCCCGACGATATCTATAGACTGATGCTACAATGCTGGGACGCTATCCCCGAGAAACGGCCCACTTTCGAATTCCTAAACCACTATTTCGAATCATTCACAGTGACCAGTGAGATACCGTACAGAGAAGTGCAAGACTAGTGCTGTGATATAGTGAAATAGTTTGTATGTGCCGCGTGAGAGACATGTGTAGGGTCCTCTTAGCAAATGTCGGAGTTATATTGTCTGTGGCCGTCCTGTCGCGGGACCGACCACACACCTATAAATCCACTTTTAGTATTTTTATACTCAAATCATTAATGAACTAAAACAATACAGGAACGTGTGAGCTTCTTTTTTATTGGTCGACGGCTTTTCTCTTCTGTTTTGTAAGTCAAAATTGATATCGAAATACTTAGCCTAAGTCAATACGAAAACACAGAAACTGACGTATGTATAAGTCAACTAAAATAACTTAAGTATTTATAGTATTGATCAAGTTTCACTTTCTATTATTTATGTAGCTTATAAGCACTGGTAGTGTTATTTTGCATTTTGTACAAACTCAATTGTTCACTACGGCATAAGCAATAAGGTTGAAAACGAAATGTAACACAATATTTTCATATTCTAAAATGATATGTGATATTTTTTTATCACCTTAGGCCCGACACTGGAGTACGAATAAGATCTCAAGTCCTACGCTTCACTCGTGCTTTGTAACTCCATGTTATTGTAAAAGTTCACGCACAACCAAAATTATGTCTAATTTGCGTACAAATTTATATTTGCCCTTGTAATGACAGAAAACTGAACTAAAGTACTTCAAGGCTCCTTTGCAATTATCATGTAAATGTTAGAGGAAGTTATTGTAGAATCCTTTAGTTGTCATTAGCTCCCTGAATCAAAATTGACTACTGGGTAAGATATGGTAGATAGAAATACAGGGTAGAACTGAATAAGAAACAACAAAATTCCGTCACTAAATTTTTTTTTAAATTCATAGCGATGCCTTCTCCAGAGGAGGTTAATGCTAGAGGAGTATGTACTGAGAATTCCAGAAGGCAATTTTGGTTAATTTTCGAAATATTAGGACACGTCTGGCGTGTTCGAAGCGTTGTTATATAAATTCACAAGACCACGCTAGGCGCTAAGTGGCACGTAATAAAACATGTCGTGTGCAGAGTAACATTAACCCGTTGGAAATTGTTGACAATCATCCCCTAAATTTCTACCTACAAAAGTAGTCTCTAAACATTGGAAATAAGGTCTATAATGTAGTTAGTGGAGAGTGGTCACCCGTGACCGCTTGGGGATATTTTGAAGGTTCTCTTGAATTTCTATCCACCAAAACTACCAGTTGTTACAAAATTGTGATAAAACTGTGCTCAATGATCCCATACAACTTGCAAAGGGGCTAACTATCCTCATGTAAAAAGACAAATAATGCTAGCTATAGGACCATATACCAAAGAGATAATTGTACATTAAGAACGAATGATAGATGTAGCGAGAAGCGTATTTAATTTATAGCATAGTTAGACCTTGTGACCTGTATATTATTAATTAATTAATTTGACCAATTATCCCCCATTATTGACGCATGTATTAAATCATATTAATTGTTAATATAATTGGATTCTAATCGACTGATCATCGATCCGTTGTTTATAATTGTAACTACAAAATTTAACCTCAAATTTTATTGTTTTCTTCGCCTAAAAGTATTAAAATGCTTTAACCACTTAATCGTTTCGTCATAGAAAAATGTAAAAAGCCAATGAAAAATAGTGTCTTAAATAACATTCCAAATATTCAAAACACGTTAAATTTGGACACTTTTGTATGAAAACGTTTAGATTTGTAAGATTTTGTACATACAATGAAAATAAATGTCATTGATATAAATTATTTTATTGCATTTATACACATTTCACCTAAAACAATGCAATTCTTGTCAAATGCATCTGTTGATTGATTTACATACATAATTCTGGGAACTATAACATAAATAATAGCTGGTATCATCACAAAGGGCTAATTAACAGACTTTTTTAATTTCCGTCTGGTAGATTATTTTAAAACATTATTTATTTATTTTATTTATTTAAAATGCTTCATGCACAAAATGTACAAAAAGGTGGACTTAATGCCGCAGGCATTTTCTACCAGTCTGACCTTTGGGTGATGCAGAGAAGAGTAAATGGTAGGTGCAAGAGGCAAGCAGTGTTTTTATTTAACAATGAAAGATAAACTAATATATTACATAGATATACATACATAAATAAATTTAATTATAATGTATACCTACACATGAGTACAATATGCCTACATACATACATATATACATAATATATAAATATATACTTGCTTACTAGTACACAGTGGATAGTTAGCGCGATGATTCAGCCAACCTCTTTAGGAAAAGCTCACGTACTTTCTGCTTAAAAGTTAGTCGAGTTGAGACCATCCTGACATCCAGGGGGAGCGCATTCCACAGAAAAATTGCCTGTACGAAAAAGGATGAATGTAAGAAGTCAGTGCGATGAGTGGGACATTGGAGAAGACGGTTGTGAGAAGAACGAAGATTTTTACTGTGGTTTGCGCATAAGTATTGAAAGTAAGGGGATAGATAACTGGGTGAAGAAGGTGAAGAAAGAAAGGAGAATAGAGTGGTTAGCGCCCTTTGCTCCCTGCGCTGGCGTATGGGCAGCCACTTTAGTTGCAACCGATGTGCAGAAACATGATCGTATTTACGCAGGTTGAAAACGAATCGGATGCAGTTATTTAGAAGTCGGTCGAGCTTATTGAGGAGATCTGCATTCAGGTCGTAGTAGCAGACATCAGCATAATCGATGATAGGGAAAACCAAGGCTTGCACCAACATGGCCTTCGTAGCGGGAGGAAGCAAATTTTTTACGCGATACAGAGCACGCAATGATCCAGTAACCCCCCTGCATACATTTGTGATTTGAGCATGCCACTTTAAATTGCAGTCAATATGCAAACCCAGATTTTTGACGTCAGTACCAAACGGGATTACTGCACCATCAAAGAGCACGGCTGGTAATGATGCTCGGTCTATTCCACCCAGCGTACGGGAGCTACCTATTATAATAGCCTGGCATTTGCCGGGATTAACTGATATACCGAATCTCTCGGTTATAACATAACATAACATAACATCACGCCTTTTATCCCCGAAGGGGTAGGCAGAGGTGCACATTATGCCACTGTACAATGTAACACCCACTTTTCACTATTTATGTTATGAGTCCCATGTAATAGGGGTGAGCCTATTGTCATATACCGGGCACAATTCCAGGCTCCGTGCTACTACTGAGAATTTTTTTAAAACCCAGTAATACTTTGCCCGACATGGGAATCGAACCCGAGACCCCTTGCCCGGCAGTCGCAGTTAAAGTAATATATTTTTTTATATTTAAAGAGAGTTCGATATAATAAAAGAAACGCTAGTAGCTCCATTTCTTTGCTCTCAAGTATAGTTAAAATTACGGAAGAGGTACATGGAATATTGACAATATGACAAAATCTCATTTACTTAGGTACGCTAAATCGATAGCTTTGGAAAAATGAAGCAAAACCTACTACACACGATTTCATTAACCTCTTGTTTATCTGGACACAAATCTACGCGAAACACAATGCGCTTTCTATAGTGTCTCACATATCGACAGACAAGAGGTTAAAACAAATAAAGTCGTTTCTAAGCTATGCGCACGCCTACGGCCGGGGCTCCGGCTCGGAGTGCAGGAGTAGGAACGGGGTGGTTTTTAGTCAGTAAGAGTCTGACACTCCCTCCCGCCTCACCCAGGCGCGAGAAGATTCGATGATTTTCCCCCCTTAAAAAAAGCTATGCGAAATTTAAACGGATCTTATACTGTTTGACAGGATGGACAACTAATGTTTGTCAGGATGACAGGTACGAAACAAAGTAACATTAAGGGAAAATGATTCATCTTTTATAATTATGTTCTCGTCAAGTTTTCATTATTTTTAAGATGTATTCTGCTATTCGGGGAGGGGACAAATCTAACGAACCAAAAACCATGAAGAACCATGTTTAGCCGATCTCGAGTTATAAGTGTTGTAACAACGTCTTTGTTTTATCTATATAGATAGATATAAAGTCGTTTTTTTGTTTGAATGCATTAATCTTTGGCACTACTGGTCCGATTTAAAAACTTATTTTTGTGTTGCATAGCCCATTTATCGAGGAAGACTATATGCTATAGAACATCACGCTACGATCAATAGGAACCGAGCAGAGCGGGTCAATCCGCACGGAAGTAGCTAAAAATACATACATAATAGATTAAAACTATTTTAGTAAAAGGCATAATTATACAATCAGTATTATTAATTAGATTAATTGCATAAAATAACTTAAATTTCTTTTTTTTCTACCATTTTGGAGCCATCGCAATATGTCTTACATATTGTCTTAGTAATAATTAAAATTATGTAATAATATTTACGTTAAATTGTGCTAACTCGTAAAAAATACATTTAAAAAAAAAATTGATATCCATATCTAATATTGAGAAAAAGGTTTTTTTCGTTTACATCATTATTTTATCAACATCGAAGAGCATTTTGAAAATCGACTACTTATGTTAGTTTTTGATTTTGAAGACACAATGAGAATACTTTTTTTTTGTTGTAGTACAATTTCATTTCTATTATAATCTGTGTACATAATTTCATATGTGTGTCCAAAACCCGTCAACACTAACAGCCCATTCATCTACTTATAAAACTAAATAAAACTAATGTCCAAATACTCAAACGTTACTCAATTAAGTCGCGCTTAAGTAAAGTTCTGTCACTACAAATTCTGATGCCGTGACTTGAATGACGGCACTGTTGGCGCGGAGGCTGGACAACTGGCTGCCGCGAAACGTGTCGCGGCTTCGATTCCCGCACGGAACAAGTCTGTGTGTTCCACAGATTATTGTTCCGGGTCTGTGTGTCATGTGTATGTGAACTTGTATGTTTGTAAACGCGCCCACGACACAGGAGAAAATCCTAGTGTAGGTCAACGATTTTTTTTAATCTTTGTAAAATGACTGAGACGATACGATACTTAAGTGCAACTTAAATCTGAGTAGCCTTTCAGTTTTCAGGCGTAAAGATCACAAATAATAATTAAAATTAAACGGTATCAGCGTACATTTTACTCTTAATTCTTAAATACCGGTACTCAGACTGGTAAAGACCATTCATATACTGCCAGCATCTCACCACGATGCTGGGAACATAGTTCGGATTTTTCTTACTATAATGGTTTAGGTATATCGCTAGTATTACCAGCATACCGGACCATACATACCTGGAAGGAAAAGTATAGTTTTAGTATCACAACATCAGCCTTTAATGCCCACTGCTGACCAAAGGCCTCTTCTCACACAGAGAAGGTTTGAACATTAATCACCACGCTTGCTCAATGCGGGTTGGCGATTTCAAACTTATAATTAGGAATTATAAGCCCAGGTTTAAACACGATGTTTTCCTACACCGTTTATCAGTTGTGTCTAAATAATCTTAAAAAAGTACATATAACTCGGAAAAAGTCACATTGGTACTTGCCGTTGGTAGGTTTCGAACCTGCACTCTCATGCATGACAATTTTCACTAGATGGCAATAGTTTGAACATTTCTTTATTCGTTCAATAGGGAACTAGCTAGCGTCACAACATTTGACATTCAATATTTGACAGCTGCTGAAATCTATTTACTACATTTGCGCAAAAAAGTCCATTTAGCAATACATTGCTCACTCGAGGCTCACAGCAAAGATGTAGAGACGTCCTTACATGTAAATGTCATGCACTTGCAGAGCAAATCGAGGTATTATATCTAACAGGTTTCAAGCTAAAACTATGACCTATGGAATAATAATGGATCATACTTACTGGAACACAAAAGGCTTGCTGAACACCAAGAAGGATATAATAATGGAGAGCACCTTCCTGAAGGTGGTCACCGTCACAGCGATGGTGGCGCCACAGATACGGACCAGTGTTAATACTGCTTGCAAGCCCAAATACCCAGTCAAACTCAGGAAGAAGATATTCAAGTACATTGTAAGTGGATTCTGAAATTAAATAATTATTAGTTCTGTTATTATTTGCAAATATCTATCTGTCATTAGACGTAGGATTTGTAGTGACAGAACTATTCTTGTGGACGTCTTTAAATTGTGTAGCGTTTGAATAATCAAACGCTGACCAGGAAAAAGTTATCTCTATCACAAAAACATTGATTGGGCGGGACGAAGAAGCTACGTACGCGCAACACCATTGCGGGCGTCGCATTGTAGTCACTTAGGCACATTACAGTCTGTCGACAGAGTTCGTCGGAAACCAGCTAGAAGTGAATACACGTGCAACGTATGGACAACCGCAGGGGCGGAGTTGCCTGAAAAGATTTTTGCTTTTCACATAAATTATAATTATTTTATGTAAAAAAATCTCTTGTGAGTAATGTTTACCCTTCAAGGGCGTAAACAATTTTTATACGGGGCCCTCCAAGGCACGCTACGCCACTGGACAACCGCTACCCGATAGCTATAATAGATAAAAGTTCCACTAGTCCTCGTGTTCGTTATAAATATATAAATCGTCAAAATTGTCTAAACAATAATTATAGTCGTCCGTAAACTAAATTAATCGTGTATATTCATACTACTCAATTTATTGTCGTGTGCAATTATTGTAATCGTGTGAAAATTGTTCTAAACGCTATAGTTACATTTATAACAGTTAACCTCCATTCTGACAAAAGAAGACGTGTTAAACTCAACTAAAGCATACAAGAGGCAACATAAACAACTATCAACGACTACTGAAATTAATATCGATGGACCTACCCAACCCGTGTATATCTCCGAAAATCTGACCACCAAGGGAAAACGCCTATATTCCTTGGCTCGTGACTTCGCTAAGTCCAGCAATTACAAGTACTGTTGGACTGCTCACGGTAATGTTTACGTTCGAAAGAAGGAAGGAGAAGCGGCCTGCCGAATAGACGATGAACGAACCCTAGCACTTCTGCAGAAGCAAAACTGACTATGGTCGGCTACCTGTGCTTGCTCCACGCCTAACATCAGGTTTGTATTGTTTCTCTCCAAGCATGTTTGTTTGATAGGTTGCTCTATATCGAAATTATATGAGCGCGTGTTTTATTCATCTGTAAACCTAGAGTATGTAAAATTTACACTTATAGTCCACTACTCTATACACTACACAACACATCTCACAATGTATAACAATACTCAACACATTAACATAATCATCACCACAATGCTCACTTATCACTATAATTATGAGATAAAGCACCATAGAAGTTTATCTTACCCTAAAATATACCCTACCCTATAAAGTCTATAAAATCTGGTACCCTATAAAGTCTGGTTTATACTGGACCGGAACTTGGTAGAGGGCCGGACATTTTTGTTATTTTTACCAAAATTCAATTTTGATAACATTAATATACGTAATGAAATAGAGAGAAGTGGCGAAATTGAATGTACTGTGGTCGATGATCCATCAGTTTGTAAATACCTCCTGAATCCCACTATTTCCAACAGATCACTTAAAATAATCACGGTAAACATTCGTAGTATCAGGAAAAATTTCGATGCCTTAATGCTCTTTCTTTCCAAAATTGAAATCATTGCTGATTGCATAGTGCTGACCGAATGCTGGATAGACGGTGACTCGCCAATAAATCACATAGACAACTATCTCGAATTTCATACCACATGCAACCATAATCAAAACGATGGTGTGGTTGTATACGTCAGAGACTGCTTCACAAATTTCCAAGCACTTGAGCCTGAAGTGACAAATAGCAACTGTCTTGTAATAAATATAGACCAATTCACTTTAATTGCAATATATAGGCCTCCGTCTCACACTAATCCGTCTAACTTCATTAGCTCTTTGAATGATTTGCTTACAAACATTCACTCTGAGAATATTATTCTCGCAGGTGATATAAACATCAACATACTTCCGGAAAAGATCACTGGCCATTCAGCGGAATATATTACTATGCTAGCTGCTCACGGTCTGAGGCAAGGTGTGGACAAGCCGACCAGACAAGGCAACTGCCTTGACCACTTTATGGTCAAAACGCATAAGCGTGTCACGACATATGTATTTGACCTACTAACAGACCATAGTCCTATACTTATACACTTGGAAGACCTAATCCATGCTAAAAAAAACAACTGAGATCTACAAATCTAGGTTAGACTTCGAGCAAATAGAAAAAGACTTAGGAAACATCTCATGGGGTAGTTACTACATCTCACAGAATACCAATGAAACCGCTGAGTTCCTAGTCAACACTCTGCGAGATATTATAGCAAAAAATACCACTAAAATCAAAATTTCTAGAAGGAAGAATCCATTAAAACCATGGATAACAACTGGCATGGTGAGATGCATACGAAGGAGGGATAAAATGCACCTAAATCTCAAAAAATCCACAAATAACGATGAACTACGGAATCAGTATACCAGATACCGGAACACCTGTCATAATATAATCGTCAATTTAAAGCGCTCCTATTATGAAGCTGAATTACGGAAAAACGAAAGAAACCTAAAAAAGACATGGAACGTGGTAAAAGACATGTGTAACATAAAACATGTCCCCACTAGGTCCACGGAGTTATTGCTCACACAATCTGACCCGGTTGACTCCTTTAACGAAGCAAACAAATATTTCACATCAGTTGGAAACGAGCTGGCCGCAAACACCTTAAGTAAAATTAAGCAAAGTGAGGAATCCTTAGCAACTAAAGCATTAAAACCAAAAGGTTTCCTACATTCTATGGCAATGTCTCCTACAGACGAATGTGAAGTAATTCAAGTGATAGCTGGTCTTAGGAATGGCAGTGCTCCCAGCCTAGATAATATTACCGTTAATATCTTAAAAAGGCACAAATTTAGGCTATCTTCCCCAATAGCACATCTTTGTAATTTGAGTTTCTCCAAGGGCGTTTTTCCCTCCATATTCAAAAGAGCTGCCGTTACTCCTATTTTTAAAGCTGGTGACAAAAAACTAACCAGCAACTACCGACCCATCTCTCTCCTCAGCGTCCTATCAAAAATATTAGAAAAGATCGCAAATAAAAGATTGGTAAAATATCTTGAATTGAACAATATATTTATCACCTAACCAATTTGGCTTCAGAGCCAATAGATCCACTAATGACGCCATCCTCAAACTCACTGAAGGTATCACACGATATATAGAGAAGGGGGAGAAATGTGTCGGTCTCTTCCTCGATCTTCAGAAGGCCTTCGACACAGTCTCAATTCCCATTCTAATAAGCAGACTAGAAAACATCGGAATCAGGGGAGTACCACAGGAATGGCTGTTAAGTTACTTATCTGGAAGAAGCCAGAGCGTTCGCCTGGGGAATACAATAAGTGATGAAGCTTTATGTTCTTATGGCGTTCCTCAGGGCAGCACGATTGCTCCAACATTATTTCTGGTGTACATCGATGATCTGTGTGGCATTGAAATACCTAATGCGGATGTGTTAATGTTCGCTGATGACACAGTCCTGCTATTCCATGAGAAATCTTGGAAAAATCTAAAAAGTGTCTGTGAGGTGGGCCTGTCTCGGATCACGGCGTGGTTGGAGGACAGTCTGCTATCATTGAACACTTCCAAGACAAAGTATGTTTGTTTCAGCAAGACCAAAGCAGGAGGTCCCATAACCTTTGATATTGTCATCCACTCCTTTCCCTGCAATAGAATTTTAAATAACCTTGCCTCTTGTGCCTGCCCTGCGCTGGATAGAGTCAAGTCAATTAAATACTTGGGGGTGGTTGTGGATGAGAATCTCAATTGGTCTCAACATATTTCAGCAACAGCCAAGAAAGTGCGGAAATTGATTCATATTTTCAAAACACTGAGACAGGTATCTAGTTCTGG